CATTTTCAGTTCATCGGTCAGTTTTGCCATCTATGTAAGTTTCGGTTGAGGGTGCGTTTATTCCCATACAAATCCTTATATTTTGTCCGTTTGTCAAGGCAGACATATTTGCATATCTGCAAAGGCTCATTGTGCAAGCTTAAGAAAGATAAAGAAGTTTGCTTAAGTTTATGGTATCTCTGGTGATCTCTAGTATTTTGTGACTGGGTAAACGATGCCATGAAACATTAATATCGAAAGAAAACTCGTTTAGAAAAAAAAAGGAAAAAAGAAAAACACACGTTTACATCCCATACTCATGTAAAATATTCCTAGCGGGGAATTTCAAACTTCGCCAAATTTTCGGAATATGTTTATCAGTTTAATTCAAATACTGTAGATCATCGATATGCACATTTAACTTAAATATTTACATATATGCATAATATAAAGCCAGAGTTCTATTCAAAATGTCTGATTTCCCTTAGAAAATAAAGATCAGTTCAATTTTCATTTTTAACCAGGGGTCGAAGAGAATCATGGTATCGAGTTATTCCCAAACCAAATATCCTTGAAAGCACTCAGTTAAGGTCTATGACAGTATCTGAGCAACTACACACCAGCCCCTCCCCTAACCTAACATTTTTCCCAACTTGTTATCAGTTGACTGCTGTTGGGTAGGGGAGGGGTAGGTGCGTAGATGCTTAGATACTGATATTTGCGTCTCCTTCTAAGCTTGACGTGTGCCGTCTCGGCTAGAAAAGTAATTTCTTCCATTTTGTGTAAACGTAGTTAATTTGAATTCATTTTATATACATATTTCATTTGGAAACAGTTATTTCTAAAAATCTCCCCGGTCCTAGTTTCGTAGCAAGTTCATTATAAAGTATTGTTATTGGTTAGAGAGCTTATTTTATATGAGCAGATTGGAGTAATTTTCGACTGACAGTCTTAACCCTTAAACCCTAACAGTGATCAGCATCCTTTTTCTCTTTACTGTGATACTCCTGAACCGTTCATTAAGGAAATAATAGCCAACTTAAGAAGCTTTGATTATTCACAAAATTCTCCTTACAAGCCCCAAAGGAAATATATAGGAATAGTATGGAGAATATAGACACTGATGTTAGGGTGTAAAGGATTAACGCCGACAATTTGCCCACACAGCATGGTAACGCCAGTCAAAAGACCAACAAGTACGTGGTGTTAGCAGCGGGAGATGAGTTAATTTCTAACGTAACTACACAGTTAACAACAGTTGTTTTTGACGTCTTCTGTTAAAGATAAATTTCGAACTTCGTTGAAAGACAGCTTCTAGCTGATGGTTGAAGAATACATTTTTTTTTCTCTTTGGCTAGACTTGTCATGCAGTCTTCCAATTTAGTAGTGTTTGACCGTCATACTCGGACCAGATTTCAACGCTCGCTTTCTTCTTTTAAATGGCGACCCAGAGAAGCTGTTATACATCTTCATTTGCAACCTGAGGATGAAAAAAGCTCATTTCACTGGAATTTAGAGAATATCAAAACTCAGGATCACGATCGGCAGAATCGTTAATGATAACGACAATAATAATGATATGGATAACAATGATTACGATACGGTTATGACATTAATGATGATGATGATGATAATTTAATAATGATAATAATAATAATTGGAGAAAATCTCTTTCATTTTGAAATTTCAAATTACATGCTTACTTATTACCTAAACTTATAATGATGATGATGATAATAAGTGTTGATGCGAACGATGGTAATAACGATGATGAAAATGATTAGAAAATCTGTTATGGGAAAGAATTTAGTACATATGTGCCAGAATTATGTAAACAAATACGAGAAAGCAAATGCCGCCGAAAATCTTACCCACAAGTTTTCGGATCACTAGAGGGGAAAACTGGTTCCTTCTTCAATATCTTAGCGATACAATTCCTTAAAGTGAGATAGCAAAAGTTTTTGTAAGCGATTCCATTCTTGCCACAAATTGGGGTGTCAAACAGTCCTTCATCACTTTTAGGACACGGCTGACAACCAGGAGGCGCTGAAACAACAAGGAACAAAAAATTAGATTTGTTACACCGTCTTGTCTTTGAACGCCATCGCAATCTCTGAGTTCAAAAGTGCTTAGTCGCACGTACACCGTTTTTTTGAAATATCACACAACGCCTCCCCCCTCCCTACCGTCCCCTACTCTCGGCTGCGACTCCCGAAAAAATGGGAGAGGATTTGCTTGACATTCAATAAACGGTACCGCGCCCAAGAGGAGAAGAAGAATGAAATCTTCAAATTATTATTGATGAGTTGCTCTCGTATATGACTCAAATTTTTTAATGTTCGGCCACAGTAATGTGACAGCGCTTTTACTTCGTCATGCTTTGGAAGATTCGTATAAACCGTCTTTTCAGCTGAAAGTAATTGAAGATTGCATTCAGTTTTCGATTTGCATTTTGACAACACCAAATCGCGAACGAAACCATGGGGAACACTTCCGGAATGGAATCAGAATTATCAAACAACTTGTTTCTCGTCTAACAACAGCCCACTGTGCTTGACTTTGTCATCCACGCTCATATTAGTTTACTTATTGTATTTATAATTTTTAATAAGTATGAAACAGCTACAATAACAGAAAAATCATGGAGAAATAAATAACTAAAACCCAGGCCTGCAGGACGTCGACATCATGTTCAGCGGGGTCCCTCCCTTGGAGAAGACGAGAAGAGCTACTATAAAAAATTGTATCTCTAGATTTTTTATCGTCGACTCTGACGCTTTTTTTTTTTTATTATCTTTTAAAATGCAGTCCGTGAGTCCTAACTTGAGAACAACTTCTTTTTCTTTCAAAGTTAAAGCTTTGAAAAATATTTTACAAACCATTTCTTCTTTCGCCGAACTGGCAAAGTGTAAACCAACGTGAACTGAACTTGACGATTGCGTGAGACTTCTCAGTCAGTTTTAACCGTTAAGGAATTTTTTTGGATGACTCGGTAAGACACAGGTTTTTTTGTTTAACAAGCTAATGGTACCCCCAAGGTATCGACATAATAAATTATTAGAAATCACAGCCATCGTTTTCGACAGACCGTCGACAACATGGGGTGAGCGAACGGCGTAAACCCCAAATAATATTCAAAATCAAACTGAATTTTGTCTTGTAAAAGCTCCTATATTCAAGCAAATTTTTAACACGATTTTTTCATAACCAAACTAGTACAGGAATGGTCAGAAGCAAATTCAAAATTTGCAGTTTAGAAGAAAAACTAGGCCATTGATTCGAGTCGAAATTTTGAAGTCAGAGTTTAAAATTTGTCCGCTGTTGACAGATTCCCCATTGAGATACAAGCTTATTGATGAAGTCACTTCTCTGTGTCACTTTCTATTTTCTAGAAATTAATGTCTTTTTACGTTTTTTTAGGCCCTGAAAAGCGAAAACAAGAAATGATTACTAACCTTTTTCTCCCCAGAAAGTGTCGTGTCTTACTGTCCAAGTTCCACGTACGACCAGAACGATTATAAGGGCCACAACCCATACAAAGTGTCTTGCTTTTCTCATATCAACTCATTTGTTCCACAGCTGAATGAAAGACGAGTTAAAAAAAGGCAAGAGTGCTTTTTTGAATGAGAAATCGCCCTTAGAACGGAAGATTATTGTTAATTCAGGCTTCGTAATTCCATGCAACTTAAGATAAGCATGCGCGTTTTGAAAGATGATGAATTTTTAAAGAAACGTGTCTCTATTACCAGACTGCCTGCATGTATCGTCAACAGTTTGACAATAACTTGTTTAGGCAACAATGGCAAGATTTACCGATAACAAAACATCTTGCAGACAACAGTTGCCTTACAGATTGAAATGAATCCGTAAACCTAGAAATAATCAGGAACTTGGACAATTCAATAATTTGCTGTTGAGAAAATTTATATCATGTTTTGGTCTGTCCCTTTTCCCTCTCACAATTTCGTTTATGGAAACATGTTCTTGGCCTGCAGAACAGACATAATTTTTTTGCGTTTTTCATTCTATCGGAAGCCAGCGCGAGACGAGTGGGAAGTGCGTGTCCGCGCGAGGGGAGGAGCGCAAAAACGAAAAAAACCGAAAGACGGAAATTTGCTCTCCTCCCCTCGCGCGTAACTTGCACCCGCCTTAAATTTGCCTTCGTTCACCCAAAAACGTAAAAAAGTTATAACGTAACAAGCAGTCGTTCTTTCCTCACGGTCGGGGCAGGTTTGGGAAAACATCGGATGAAGTGTGAAAACGCAATTAAAGTTTTGACAGATTAATTCAAAACAGTCCTCGCCCTGTGAATATCAGTGTCGCATCATTCGTAGTAGTGAACAAAGACACATGCAGCTTAATAGTTATATAGTACGGTGGTACTATAGTCAAGTGACTGCATCAAAGTTACAGGGATAAACAAACGGTTCTTACTCAGGGCACATCAGTTTTGGTGTAGTTAGCGAATTCAAGTTTCAATACAAATCTTGATCAACAAACTGTTTCATAGCAACGTAAATTAACAAGATGATCTGGTTGTAAAACACGCTAATGCTTCTTTTGGAAACACTGTCGGCCGATAATCTTAAGACATCACAGGGAAGGAGAAAAAAAAATTCTTGGTCCCAAGCCGGAAATTTTTTGGGTGGAGCTTATGACCAAAACCAGTTAATATTCTCTTCCTGAAACATCACATGAATTAATATCACCCAGTGAACAGTTTACGTGAATATATGACAACATCAAGGGTGTGGTGCTAGGTAGAATATTTGAATTGTCCACCTCCCGGTAGATATCATTATTTATCAGCCCCATAAAGACAGTAGAAAGGCTGCGTGTTGACTCTAGTGTCAAAATGAAATACTCTTACACCTGGCTGGTTTTGCTGCCCATTTTGTTTGGTTTTACAGGTGGGAGACCTGTGTCACCTGGTACGTACAGTCTATTCTCACTTATTCTAAGGTTGTTTCATGGTAGCGAGCTGTTCCTCTGTTCAGTTTAAAATTAATTCTTAGTTTTGATTCAGATGTCGTGCTTCTGCTGTACTTTTGTCGAAATTAATTCCTGATTTGAGTTGGGCACTTGAAAACAAAGCTGTGTGCTTATATGCTCGCTTGTTTGTTCTTTCTAAACGTAGAAGTTGGAGATGTAAAGCTACGCAAAAAAGCGAGAAAAAAAAACCACTAACCTCTTACCAACCGAGCACAGGGGCTGTGCTGAGGAATATTGGCCTGAGGTCAGGCCAAAATTCCCCAGTACCGCCCGAGCAAACGAGGTTAGTAAGTATTTTGTGAAATTGCTCTTGAACATACTTAAATGTTTTAAATTTGCCGTATTTTGCGAACGAAAAGACACGCCTTATGGCCATTTCCGTGGAAAAGGTCCGTATGGCAAAATCTCGGCAAAGGAAGAACCAGTCAGAACGTTCGAATAAATCCTCAATACTACCTTGCCATAAGATAAAAGAAGGTATTATTGTTTGACGTGGAGATAATTGCAGTAATCAGAAAAAATTCACAGATGTGATCCTTGCCCTGAAAACATGTCAAACATTTCAAGCAAATAAAAGACTAAGATAATGGACGAATCGAAAATCAGAAAACACCGAGAGCGGGTAAACAACAACTTAAAATAAAACCTAAACTTTTAACACCATAACATGAATATTCATATCCTTCACACTGTTATCCGTACATTTCAAGGAGAATGTGTTTGGTAATCAAAAGCTCCTTGAATCGGTGATCATTTCGTTTATTCTCCTGGCCTCAGTGTTTAATTAAATTGTCAAACTTTAACTAGAAACCAGTTACTCTTGGCGGATAAAAGGGTAATTTGAAATGCACAAAACGACTAATTTGAATCTGTTCTTTCTTATTTCAGACTGTGGAATTCAGTGTGTCGGTTCTCTACCTCAGTGTAATCTTCCAGGACTATTTGGTTTCCCAAAATGCGCCATGCAGCTTGACAAGTGTAAGTTCAGCAAGCCGCGCCCATTCAGACCAGGGGTGATTTTGCTTGGTGAACCTGAGTGTTATTAAAGAAATTCTTCGATTGGATGTGGAGAGGTATCTGCATATCGAGCACCAGTCAGAGTGAAGAGAGATATTGCTGCATCATGCTAATGTGTCATGTTAGTGTGTCACGCGAGTGAGTCACGCTTCCTGTCAGTTTAAATCACACCGCCAGGTATCCGTGACTGGAAGACGAGCACGGTCTACCAAGTTCCGGGGAGAGCAACATCTAACTTCTGGCTGCCTTTTTTTTTTGTCGCCCGTATTAAGGAAGGCTACGAAAATTAAGATTGACCTTTCCTAAACCAGTTTCTTCAACTCCCATGACTGACCAAGACATAATTTCTCCTACAATGTCAATACAAAACCAGGCAGAAAAAGGTTTAGAATAAAGAAAAGTATCAGTTAGAAGATATTTAGTTGATCAAGAGATAATACTTTCTCGGTTTGATCCAATACCAAATTCTCTGAGCTACCATCGCAAGAATTATATTGTAAACAGTAAGAATTATTTGCCTCATATGTTGTGTGGCAAACCTAAAAGATGATTGAACTTGGGGCAGAATTCATCGAATAAATTACTACCTCGACCTACATTTTAATTTATGCTTGCAAATTTTATTAATCTCTTTAAAATTTACGGATATTTGACTGAACGATTCAAAAGTTTGATCTTATTTACGGAATTTCAGCATTGGTCTCCATTAAAGCTGTTGTTCGGTCGTGTAAAGAAAGCGTTGCGTTACAATATCTAGTAACAGTTGTGTCAACAAATTCCAACGTTACCTAAGGTTTGCTTTACACAACTTAACGAATCTTCCCAAAAAGCCTTATTATCCCTTTTAAGAAACAATCAGAAACAATCAGAAACTTTCTGATATTTTATATTTCTTCCATTTCTATAGCTTTTTTAAAGCGCACAAACAGTTTGTCAATACGTGCTTGATCCATAGCAACCGTTACGCTGAATGAACATGAGTAAACATTGTGTCACGCCTTGCCTTGTACTTGTCCTAGTTGGATTCGAATCGAGCTATAAAGATAATACTCTGTCGGCTTACGGTCACGGTAAAGGTTAAATGAACACACCCGTCATCATGACAGTTCGCCTAAGATCGGTTAGTGATAGGTAAATAATGATAAACCCCAAGCTAACACTTATGCACGCGCCGTCACACCTCGTAATTATCAACGTCATCACTGAAATGCCATTTTGACGAAATAAATCAAGCCGACGTACTGTCCATAATGATTAACAGAGTTTCGATAAACATGTACATGTAAACAGCAATACTCTGAAGGAACACTTCAAAGTCCACTTTGGAGCCTGGACCCGATTTCTGTTTTGTCGTGAAATCAATTTTCTTGAGCATTGTACCTTGAGTCTCGGTGACAAATACGATTATGTTCGGGATCAATAATTTTCTCCTGGAGTTGTCTCGCAGGACGAAGTTTTCGATTGACAAGGTACAGCAAAGCATTCAGAACATGCATGTCCAAGATTATGTTGTTAGGCGAGGTTTCTGCTAGATGTGTATGAAGTCATAGGTCAAATTATTTCTGAAGTGACAAAAAAAAAAAACAAAACAAAGAACTTCCAAGCATTCGCCGATCTAGGGCACGTTAATTTAGGGATACCGTTGATATCGACGATGGCTTAAAACATTAATTGACCTATGCCGTAGTTTAAGGTCACGAAACATTTTGATCCAATATGCCACTGAAGGTTAAAAAAAAAACAACTTCTGCTGGTTTAACAGTGAAAATCGCCAACAACCAGCCGCCATAATATACGAATCTTTATGTTTCTTTCTTCTCAGATTAATTTCGTGTTTTGTATGTTGCTATGCCTTCCTCTTGGTGTGCTGTTCCGGATTGTTTTCCACCCTAGACGTGTTTCTGCAAGCGCACGGCGACTTTTAGGACTTGTCTGGGGTTTGGCACTATCGTGGTTTTGTTTCAGCTGGTAAGAATCCCACCATCAATACAAACCCTGCTGCTCACTTGCTCACATTCAAATTTCAAGTCACGCCACAATGTTTATTTTACAAAAATGATCAGCTCGTGCGATCTCATCTTGCACATTTTACAAGACTTTTCTTCTTTTGCTTCGTCTTTACCATAATTTCTTTTGAAAAAATAAAAATTTAATCGGGTATCAGTTGGTAAGAAGGAAAATGATAATGATGTAATTTATGCATAGTTGACGAACATGCACACATTTGAATAATTGTTAACATTTCTCAATAACAGGTTCTGCTTGCGATATCATTTATTAGCTGTTGATGAAATTCTTTCATTTACTTGATTACAAAAAACCCAATGATTATATTTTAATGTCAACAATAGCATAGCGATGCAGTGTGGTTAAAATTGAAACGAATAACGTTTTAAAAACCAAAAGTTTGATGATGTAATAGAACATGCTACGAAAATTAATGCTGTAAATACGACAGAGATATTGTTATAATATTGCATTTTAACTTGTTATTTGGACAGTTGGTAAGACCTGTCAATGAAACCGCTCTCCTATTAGCATTTCTCGCCTTATGAGAAAAGCTTTTCAAATAAAGCAGTTAGATAATAGGGTGACTTCGTACAACTCGTTTCTTATATGCTAATGAGACGTGGACAGGTATTACTACTAGTAACTAGTGTAGCTAAATGTCGTGGGTTGTGGTGCGGGTCGAGGTTAAATTTCGTGGGTAAAAATTAAAAAAAAAAAAAAGAAGAAAGAAGAAAGAGAGATAGAGAGAACACAGAATTACAGCCAAGATAAGACTCGTGTTTATGAAATATTTCAAAAACTCATTAATGATTCATAAGCCCATTAACCTATCAAATGGTAGATAATACATCACGTGCAGTGACTTTATATCGATAAACCTCATCCTTATTAGTATGCGGTGTTTTATCAGATAAAAAGACACTGCACGTGACTTATGAATATTAATTAATTATCAACACAGAAACCGACACAACAAATGGTGGAAACATATTTAATGTTCTTTCAACAAATTTCACACAGTAAATTTACTTTTGCACCAAATTAATAGTACAGTTGTGGAATACACATCTGGAAAAATTCTCTATTCCATCAGTACAGTAATCTGGTAAAGGCATATTAGACAATACATCATCTGAAACTTCGAATTCAAGATCATGTTTTTCTCGTATGCTAATTTATAACGTTCACAAAAGCATAATTGTTATGAACTCTCTTGACACACGCTTTTCCAAGAATGTTTTTAAAGCCGTTCAAAAAACACGCAGCACGTGTTTTATCGGGTCAAAAACCCGATAAAACACTCCTGCTCGTTTTTTAAACATTACTTAACAAATAGATTCCAAGTTTATATTGTTAATATCAGTAATAAATCACAGATGACGTCAAGATGTGGTAAGAACAAAAACGTCACTGATATTCTTACCACATTTTGACGCCCTCTGTGATCTATTACTGAACAGACGCACGGCAACTTGGAATCTATTTGTTTTATACAATAAAGAATTAAAATTTATGGAAAAAAGTTTTAATGATGACTTCATCTATACGTCTGTCCTCTAATAGATCATAAGTGAGAACCAATCAGAATGCGTGCATAACAGAGCTTATTTTATAATTTAAATTAATACACTGATCCCTTTCCTCAAAAGGGAGTTTTAATCCAATGTCTTATTTTGTTTACATTATTTTGTTTAACATGTAACTTCTCCCTTTGATATTCATACGTTTTCTAGCGAACGGTTTATGAGAATATTCAAACTTATCAGGCAGAAGTTTTTATCTTGATCTTACACCAAATTCTCGTAACTAATTTACAAGGAATATGTATTAGCTAGAGGAGAGAATTAACAATCAGATTGCCAGTGGGAATGTAGAGGTCTGCAAGGCGAGTACAGGAGGTTCAGCACTGATAATGTTTTTAGTGCCAGCTCCCTCGCAATCTTCTCTCTCCTGACTCGTCTCCAATCTTCCTGCCAGCGGAGAAATGCACGTCCTGCAGCGCTTTTAATGAAGGCCAGCTCGAAGTCTAGGAATGATGCGATCATTGATGAATATTGTAAAACAGTTGGACGTGATACATCAAGGGATATGACCCATCCTCCTTTGTCCCGTTACGATCTTTGCCTGTCAGTAATGGAGGTTTTTCTTATGGTCCAATCTGCAGGGAAATTTTAATCCTTATCGGACTGAGCGCTGTGTGTTACATGTTTACCTCGTTTGCAAATCCTGCGGTAGTTCACAGGTATGTCCCGTCTACTTCCAGTCGAACCAATGCGAAGATGTTAGTGATTGACATGTAGTCTCGAGTTAACCTATTTTTGTTTCCTTTTACAAATTTCTATGAACGTTTCAAGTTTTCCCATATGTATTTCCGAGACTGCCGTCGTTTTTAATGTTTAACTGTGAAATTCTACAAGGCGCGCAGCAGGTCAAAATTAATACTCTCGCGCATGCCCAACGGTTGACCGATTACGGACCTAGGTTCGATTACCGAGCACTATTCGGGAAAAGAGCCCGCGCTCCTCCCCCTAAGAAAGAGAACAAAGACAGAAACGAGAAAACGGCGAAAATCAAGTTTATTACGCACCTTAGGGCATCGGGGTCCTTAGTCAGGGGGCTCATGAGGTAATTGTCACTCGGAGCAGAGGAGGGAGAGGGGGTGGGGTGAAGTGACCAAAGACTGTCTCGCTCTGACTGGCATTTGATGACAAGTCAGACTGGTTTATTGTTTTAATTAAAATCGTCATTATCGTTTTAATTATCTTTATCTTTTTTCTTATTTTCATTTGTGTCAGATTTGTATTTATCGCTGCAATGGGGACGTTGTCTGTGGCCCATATTTATAGACAAGCAACAAACTACGGAGAACACGCTGTAGATTTCTCTGGGTGAGTGTATCTATCCTAATATGACCAACTTTCCTAACAGGCACCGAAATGGTGATAAAAAATGCAAACTAAGCCGCATCGCGTGAAAACTGTGCATATTAAAATCAAATATATCTCTTTATGTTTAGTTTTCATCGCAGCCATTGTTTGGTCTCGTTCAACTTACAATCCTCCCGCCTGCCATGTAACACAATCGCGCTCACCGTAAGAAAGAACGTCTGATCGTAGGTAAGGTCTTGTCACGCAACGCAACTGATGAGAGCGCGCGTGAGAGGACTACTTTCTGGGCACCCATCTTTGTTTGAGAAAACATCTTTTATTATCCAAGCGCCTATCGATATTGGGGCTTATTAGGCGATTGATTACTTGATCTGAAGGCCACTCGCGCGAGAAGGGCAGCCTGGTGACGAGTTTTGCACTGACTTATCTTTGGTTGCTTTTAGCCCACTGATGTTGATCGTTCAGAGAGTTACTTACATAGCATTCAATCTACACGATGGTAAGTTGATAACAGATGATTTATGTCTTTGTTAAAGCAAGGGTTTTAGTTCTGGTAGAGATAACTTCTAATAAAGCCGTAAGCCATCGAACTCTGTGTAGTGTGACCTTCAAGAATGTTCTAGAAGTAGCTGTGTCATGCTGAGTCATCCTTGAATCAATATATAAATAGAATCTGTTGTAATGTTACGGAACGTTCTAGATCCTCAACCGTACCTATAGAAGCCGAGCTTGTAACTAGATGTAGAGAGTAGTTTAGTTGCTGGTATAGCCCGACAGATATCAATAAAGGTGTATGCTGCAGAATACAAGACGTCCACACTTCACTATGCCCGGAGAATTAACACGCCCTTACGTTTTTGTCACAGTATTGCATTAGGCTCGATTACCAGGCCACTTTTCGGGAAATACGCCTGCATTTCCCCCTCGGGAGGATCGAATGATCGGAGCCGAGAAAACGGCAGAAATGCTAACGACCATTTTTGGGGGGGAAACGAGTCTTGGCGTCTCTCTTCCCTCCCGCTTCCCAGGGGAGGAGAGGGTTCTCTCCATCATCTCTTCCCCCCCCCCCCATCCTTTGCCGATATCGGATTGAAAAGCCTCTTATCGCATTGTTGTTACTATGGAGAATGCGGGGGGGGGGGGGGGGGGGGGGGAGGAGCCGTTAGAATGTGATCCCATCTTCTTTGCCAATGGATATTCCATGTTGTCGCTATTCTTAACCATCCTTTGCTTTGTCAACAGGAATTGCGAGAGAGGAGAGCGATCTAACAGATGAGCAAAGAAAGGAAAAACTCAAGTAAGACTTTTAGTCTTCCATTGTTTTTTTTTTCCCTGAAAACTCAGTTGACTCATTTAAGGCGCAGTTTCTAATCCGTGTATGTAAACCAAACCTTGAGAAATCACAACCAATCAGAATTAAGAAAAAGTGTTGCAATGAGAGAATGAGATTCCAAAGTAAACTGCAAAAATGTTTGAAAACGAGAGTAACCAGAAAGCAATTGGATAGGATAAAGTGTCAAGTTTCCTTAACCAGTTACCTAGTAAAGTGAATCAAAACGAACACAGTCCTGTTTAATAATGCTTTCGACACTTGATGGAACATTAGTATAGGTTATAACATGATTCTGACCACACTCACTCATTTTCAATGTGAAAAGTTTATTTAGGATGAGCCAGTCTTGTAGTCTTGTAGTCTTGTAGTCTTGTAGTCTTGTAGTCTTGTAGTCTTGTAGTCTTGTAGTCTTGTAGTCTTGTAGTCTTGTAGTCTTGTAGTCTTGTAGTCTTGTAGTCTTGTAGTCTTGTAGTCTTGTAGTCTTGTAGTCTTGTAGTCTTGTAGTCTTGTAGTCTTGTAGTCTTGTAGTCTTAGCTTGTAGTCTTGTAGTCTTGTAGTCTTGTAGTCTTGTAGTCTTGTAGTCTTGTAGTCTTGTAGTCTTGTAGTCTTGTAGTCTTGTAGTCTTGTAGTCTTGTAGTCTTGTAGTCTTGTAGTCTTGTAGTCTTGTAGTATTCGCATCCTAATGGAATGAGTCAGCCAGTCTTGTAGTGTATGTATCCTAATCTTAGCTTGTGTACACTAAAAACTAAGGTTTCTACTAAAAGAACCTGTGCTACGCCAGATACGAAAAACCACTAAAATACCACTCTTTAGATGTGGCCAAAAAATATGTGGAAACGTATTCCTCATCTAATGCAGTAGTACAATACCCCGAGGAAAGGGCAAACTAACCTGGTTACACTGCTAATCACATACTAAAAATGATTGAATATAGTGATATTTTACAGGGATTTGGAAAACGCAAATTACATCAATACGAAAAAAAAAAGTTGTAAAACATAAGACTAATTCTGCCATCAGAATATTAATTTCTGACTGATTCGTTCCCATGTCACTCAAACGTCAGAAATTACATATTTCGAGTGCAATTTGATATTAAGAACCACGAGCAAATTTTTCAAAGAAAACAAAATTGAACGTGCCCGTAGGGCGCTTGTAGTTTGAAATCTTTGAAAAATTTACAAGTGCTTATTACACCAAATTGAAATCTTGTTAGAACTTGTTAGTGATGTACATGAAATAGCATCACAGAGAGTCGAGATAGTCAAAATTTTGAAAGCGCGCACGCGCTATTTATAATTGCACGCGTGTTACAACTTTGCACTCGTGTTGCACGAGAATGCACTCGTTTTCAGCCAATCAGAAGCGCGTAATTTTTTCATGTACATATTACTCCGGCAGCATGTGTACTGTATCCAGGCCTTCCACGACTTAGCGTTGAGATCTTAAATTGGCGCTGGATAAAAAGTCATATCGCAAATCCAGTTCTCCAATATTTCAGTTACAACATCTCATTTATTCGTTATACATTTATGAAGACTTTCTCTGAGAACAAGGGGATTAGTACTGAGAAATCATAGACTTACTCAGAAGTCACATTAGCTGAATTTTTCCCTCTCACTGTTACTCGTTTTCATTTCTAGTAAAACTCGGTGGTTTTTTTTTTACTTTAGAAAAGTCCCGTCTCTGTTGGAATACTTCAGCTACCTGTTCCATTACAGCACAATTCTTGCAGGACCAGTCTGCACGTTCAAGGAATTTAACGATTTTATCGATGGCTCAGATATTAGACCTAAGGTATTATATTGTAAACACTTAAAAAAAATTAAATATTCTTTGCCTCACTGATCAAAGGCAAAAGACGAAGCAACAAAATTACAAAAGCGCAAGAAAAAGTCAATCATTTCAAATGCGCGGACGAACTTGTAGATTTTGACATAACCGTAGAATCGCACTCAGTTTGTTTCTTTTTCCTTTAATTTTAGAAGCCTGGCGAAAAAGAACCTTCACCTTTGGTAAGATATTTTTGTCGTTGTCATTTAAAAATTTCACATGACTTGAAGCACGCGCATTTATTCCTTTGTGTGTTTCTTGTCACTCTGCTTCAGATGGATGTTTTAAAGAAAATGTTGTCTGGTTTCTTGTGTGTGGTTATTTTATTCCTGACTGGGGGACATTATCCGATATCTAAAAATGCAGGTAAGGTGGTTAGTTTGTAGGATGGTCAGATGTTCAATCCTTATGGGCATATGTGAGTCAGTGTACTTTTTCAGTTTAGGTCGGTCATCGAGTCGGTAGGCTGGCTATTTGGTCAGTTAATGGGTCATGCGGTAGGGCAGCCAGTCAGTACAGTCATTCAATCCATCAACTAGTCAGGTAGTAATTCAGTCAGTTTGTCTGTCAGTCAGTCAGTCAATCATTGAGTCTTTCAGTCATTAAGTCAGTCAGGCATTCAGTCCGTCAGTCAGTCAGCCATTCATTCATTCATTCAGTCAGTCAGTTTGTCTGTCAGTTAATCAGTTAGTCAGTCAGTCAGACATTCAGTCCCTCCGTCTTTCAGACAGTTAGTCCGTCCGTCAGTCAGTCAGTAAGTTAGTGAGTCAGAAAGTTATTCAGTCAGTAAATCAGTCAGTCCGTCAATCAATCTGTCAGTCAGTAAGTTTGTGAGTCAGTCAGTCAATAAGTCAGTCTGTTGGTCAGTCACCTAGTCAGTCAGTCAGCCAGTCAATCAGTTAGTCAGTCAGTAAGGTAGCCACTCAATCAATCAGCTGATCAGTCAGTCTCCAGTCAGTCATTCAGTCAGACAGTCAGTTAGCGCAACGAGCTATGTACTATTTCAATTTATAGCTACTGTAAAAAATCTTTTGTCTTTAAAATTTGAATCATCAGATCCCAAGTTTATAGCATCTGAACCATTCTACTGGAGAGTAATATACGGCTGGATTAGTGGCACGGTTGCTAAGCTGAGATACTACTTTGCCTTTAAAGTGGGTAAGTGATCGACTTTACCTTTACCAGTCTTCACTGTCACATCTTGTTTTCTCCCTTTCATCCCCTTTTCTCTTTCTTTCAGTTCCTCCCCTCCATTCATTGTTCATCTCTGTCGTCCTTGTCTTTTTCCTGGCTTCTTTACTTGTCAATGCGTGGTGCAAAAACAGAAATTTTAGAGTCTGATTATTAGTGATTTCCTGTTGAATATTTCAGCGGAGGCCGTGAATAACATGGGAGGTCTGGGTTTTAATGGTTACGACGAAAATGGAAAAGCCAAATGGAATCGAGTCACTAATGCTAATATTCTTAAGATCGAGGTACGATGTTTCTTTTTTTTGGTAAACGGAGAGTACTTAGTTAGTTTAATACAGCTGACGTGATTAAACTGAAATATACTTTAGTCAAAATAAGTAAAGTTAGCGATCAAGCTTAATGGCTCATTTGACCGGAGACACGAGAATGTTGCCACTCCCCCCCCCGAAGGGATGCCGGATTTCCCCCCCCCCTTCGGGCCCTCTTGAAATTTCGCCAGCTTCTTCCCAGAACAATAGAAATGAGCCGGCCTGGGTCTTGAACCCAGACTACTCCTAAAGAAGTCCGGCGCACTCGTCGTGAAGCCACCACCTCCCGACAAGCGAATTTCTAAATCTGCCGTTTTGATTCTCTTTTAGTTCGCCACAAGTATGAAAATGATGATGGACAACTGGAATATTTCCTCTGCACTCTGGCTGAGAAGGTTAGACATTTTACGCAATTTTGTTCCACAGAATGGTTTACTTGAAGTTGACTGCACTTAGGGGTACTAGATAGAGGAGTGTGCAAAAATTCAGGGTCCCCTCCCACGATACATAAGTTAGGCACCACTGCAAACTAAACTAAGAAACCACAAGTTGGTTGTTACGTGTTTTAAACACCGGGAATTAATTTAATGTTTAGCATTTCTGATGCGGAGTTTATTGAACGTCGCTTATTCGAGAGCGGGACGTTTATCTTAAATCACTAATAACAATTACCCGGTAAATCACTTGAAAATATTATGGAAAACTTTGTTTAAAGCTATTACTTTCCAAGGATTGTGTAGATTACTGAGAGGTGAATTACTTGTTATCGTATTTCTTTATGATATTCGAATTCAAGTTCTTTTCATCTAGTTGCGTGCAGTTTTTATTCGAGGGCGGCGTTTATTGGTGAAGAACCGGTCATTCTGGTCATTATTTGGCGCCAGACGGGGTCGGAGAATTTTGGCAGTGTTACAAAAAATGTACCTGATCGCCCTATTATGTACTGTAGTTTCTCATGATTTCCTCCTTCCCCCCCCCCCCTTCATTGGCATACAAATTTCTAAAACCATGTGATCCCGCAAAATCCTCTGACCGACCCCCCTCCGGCGATAAATTTTGACAGGTCCCTAATTGGCTCCTATCTGCTGCGTTTAATTAAGTCTACATTATTTCCTAAAAACTCTTTGTGAGATATCTTAACTGATAACACTGGAAAAAAAAAACCGAAGAGGATTTTTCTCACAATAATCAATCTTTTCAGGACAGTTTACGAACGAGTCAGCCACCACAGAACACTTGCTGTTTTTATCACGTCCTCAGTCTGGCATGGGTTCTATCCGGGATACTACATGATGTTTCTGACATTTGGACTTATGCTAGAAGCGGGAAGAATGGTAACTAACGTCGCGTTAATTTAATTTGGAAAAGATCTCTAAAAAAACATGTTACATCTCTGCTTCTGGTCAATCGGTAGGAAAAAGATTAGTTAATCTTAATTTGAACAGGCATCGAAGAAGGTAAAGGATGCCTTATTATTAGTCGTGTGAATTAACCTAACAGCTTGCTTCTTCAGATCGTTTTTTTTCAATGCCCAACTCGCTTCTTTGGCTCTCTTCTTGTATGTGTTTAGGGTCGTCGTGTCATAAGGCCATATTTCCAGAAAACACGTGCTTTGGCTATTATTTATGACGTGATCACATGTATTGCAACCGGCCTGTGCATGGCGGAAGGAGGTGTTCCATTTCAGCTTTTGGAACTACGCTTGAGTATCGACTACTGGAGGTAGGTATGCTGTGAAAGTAGGTTTACTGTGGGAATGGTGGTTGGGAACGAGAATACTCTGAAGGTGGGTATTCTGTAGAAACCCCAGCCTTTCAGACTTGAACGCTTTAAAAATAAGTAAATCAAAGTTTAATCCTCAAAGTAAACAAACTTTCCTTCGAAAAGAGCAATTATTTAGAGAATATCTATCCAGGGAGACCTAATATTTTCCTTTTTCTTGTGGCTTTGGGGTGGTTTTATTCCTTTACAATTGTTTAATTCAATCTTCTCTGTTCTGGGTTTCACTTGGCTGTTATATGAAAGACGAGAATAAAAGACTTGTGACAGGGCTGGCAAACGCGCAAAATTTACACAAATGTACATGCCATAAAATTTCTGGCCCAAGATTGGCTGGAATTGTTGCATAGTACTTCTTTCGTGCGGTAGACTACGGCGAGGTTCGTCGCACAAGCAAGAAAAATTCAATATATGAAAAAAAAAAAAAAAAAAAAAAAAAAAAAAAAAAAAAGCACCGCGCCATAATATCATTATTTTTTCACTAGTATTTTTTTGTTTGTGCGATGGAATTTGCTTAAAGGAGAATGTTTTACACCCAGATTGAGAGTTTAAAGAGAAGCGTTCTTAAAATGTCATATCTTTCTCGTAGGTCCCTGTACTTGTATGCCCATATTTGGTGTCTGTTGCAAATCCTTGTCTGTCGGGGGGTAGGAAAGCGCATTTACACAAGACACGTGGAGACTCGACCCATGAGGCCAGAGTCTAAGGAAGAGAATAAGAACTGGATTTACAAACTGGAACACAGAGGGGCAAGCGCGGAAATAAATCAGGACAAAAAACTTAAACTCAACTGATCAAAATGAATTAGGTTTAAACCGCGGGGGAACTGAGAGTAAATATTCATGTTCTATAAAAAAACGGAAAATAGGAAATGTGTATCTCCCCAAAATTATTTTCTTTGAAAAAATATTTCTCCTTTTCTTCTGTAAAACGTCGTCCTAATAAATGAATCGAGTTTTCTGGTCCATTTTTTTTTAATTTGAGTGGGAAACTTCACGAATGTAAAACGGGTTTCGTTGAGTTGTTGAGATATCAAGTTCTGTGGACTTTCATTTCGCCCTCGGCTTGCCATCTACTGAGATTATAGGGAATGTATGGCTATTAAGGAAACGAAGGCTCCCATTTGCTGGGATGCAATCGTCTTTGAGTAGCCGCAGTAACATATCAATGGCTTGTTGAGGCGGCAAGGCGAGGGAGCGTAATTGCTTGTAGAAATGAGAGCTTGACTACTGTGAAGGAGTGACGGTCACAGCCGAGAAGATAGTTTGATTTTATCAATTTAGTTTATAATGTGAATTGCCGCCGTTAGGAGTACCAAAGCTGACGTTTCGAGCGTTATTCGCTCTGACGCTTCAAAGTTCCTTTAAAAAACTCACAGTCGAGAAGAGCCTGGTTACTAGTTCAAGTTCAATTTGTCTCCAGTTTCCCCTCGCATTCTCTCGGTGAAGATGGCGGTAAGATTGTTTCCAAAACTTGTTCTCTTCGGGGATTCCTTAACTCAGGTAAGTTTGAAATTATTTTATATCAGTTTAGGAACCTCCGTTTTACTGAAGTGTGTAAAAATCTTCCACTGCTGGTCTTTAAATGCAGTCACTTCACGTTATCACCACGTCACAAGTTGGCAACCTGCTAACAAATATCGCGGTGTTGTGTTTTTCTTCACATAAAAGACTCGGCACCCAGTGGTACGGTACCATGATGGTGAGCGCATTGTACTGTCGATCAGAGATACAATATTTTCATACAATCCCATACTTCAATCTGCAAACGCTTTCTTCTGAAAAGAAAACATTGGCGAAATTTGGAGACTACCGTAAAGTTTGTGATCCCAAGATACGATTGTTTATTAATTCTCCCCTCTTACAGCGTGACATTTCCTTATTTAGTAGTGATGAGAACTTGCTGTTAGATCAAGACAACAACTTTCACCTGATGAGTTTGAGTATTCTCACTACTGTTTGGTGCATGATGTATGGATATTATAGGGAGAAGATACATGTTAATCACTTCAAGGCGTTTAAGGGTTAAACATTTGTTAGTGAGGAGTTTATTCTTGTCTGCCCCTCATCCTTAGAGAAGGCTGATTTCCAAGGTATGGCCACTCTTCCCCACGGATAAGACCCTCAATTTACATAAATTTTTACTTGCAACATGGCTTCAGAATTCTATGAAAAACCTGCTTTTTAGCCTATCCCTCCCTTTTCCCATATCTCCACACCCCACCCCCTCCCATTCAATCTCTCTTTCTTTCCAAGATGCGGATTTATCTTTGAAAAGTTTCCTGGTAAAGACGTCATGTAAGATTTCACCAAAAACTTTGCATTCTTGCATCCTTTGCACTTCTAACAGGAATCTTTTAGTGAAGGAGGCTGGGGAGCAACACTGGCAGATTATTATCAAAGGTTTGTTTACAAAGAAATAAAGGGAGACTTTTTTTTTGCTTTGTCTGAATAGTGAGAGAAAAAAACAACTTTGATTCCTCTAAAAGAATCAAACCCTCTGCACTCTGACGCTTTACTGCTGAGTTACAGAGAACAAGGTTCATACACGACATAGGTCTTGATACTGCAAGGATCAGGATCAAAGTTTTGCATGAGTTAAAAAGAATAGGAAAGAGGTTACATTTTTTTTTGGTGGTGTTTTGAAAATAAAGGAAGGTTTTAATTCTGAGAGGGTCAATTTATACAATGAAATAGTGGGGCTTAGCTAATTAAGCTTTTACACCCTAAGATCAGTATGCATATTCTTCATACTGTTCTCTAAACATTTCCTAAGATGCCAACATGGAGAATTTGTCTAACAATCAAGAGCTTCTTTAGTCAGTGATCAGCTCCTTTATTCTCCTGACCTTAATGTTTGATTCAGGTGTTATATCTAAGGAGAAATTAGATGCCAGTCACTCTTAGGGGTTTAAAGAAAAAGATCAATAGGGTTTAAGGTGAGAGGTCTAAATTGGGTGGAACAGCCTCCTTAACCCTTTAACTCCCAGATCAAATTTGTTACTCTCCTTACTGTCAACCATACAATTCTCATGATGTTGGTGCAGAGAATTTAGTATTGGATCCACTAATTATCCCCAAATTGATATTTTTCCTAGTTCTCATCACTTATCTGGTTGATATTGTATTGATATTGTAAGGAGAAAATCTGTCTTGGTCACTCATGGGAGTTAAAGGGTTAACACTTTGACCCTTAAGAGTGACTGACATCTAATTTCTCCCAACAATATCAACCCTGAATCACACATAAAGAGCACGAGAATAAAGGTAACAATCTCCAACTGAAAAAGCTTGTGAATGTTGAATATATTCTCTTTGTCAGTATGTTAAGAAATGTATGAGAACAGTATGGAGAATATGCATGCTGATGTGAGGGTGAAAAGGTTTAACATCCTAGTACCCCTGAGAATTGTTTTGGGAATGTTTAAGAAATAATGCTAAGAACTATGAATTATTGGTACATGAAAATTTCACTCTACCAAACAGTAGTTTGAACAGTTTTGTGTTAGAAGGTGCTTTATCTAAACTGAATCAAATACAAGGGTAATAAAAATAAAGGGAATGATCACAAACTAAAAAAGGCTCTTGATTGTTCAACAAATTCTCCTTATCTGCACTTCAGGAGATGTACAGAGAACAGTATAGAGAATGTGTATACTGATGTTAGGGTGTAAAGGGTAAAAAATTCCTAAATGTACAACTATTCCTTACAGTCTTTATAGTGGAGCTCGCAAAGTGTAACCCCCATAATTATACAAAATAGTGGTAACCCATTAAGCCAAAAAAATTTGGTTGTATGACCGTATGACCGTACAAGGTGCTACTTTTAACATGCGTGGTCAACTGTTGTTCAGTAGTCCAGTGGTCAGTGCACTGGGCTCCGAGTCAGATGACCCAGGTACTAGTCCTGGCTGGGGCAAGGCGTTGTGCTCTTGAGACGTGAGGGAAAAAAAATGCGAGCTCCGCTTTTAGGCTTGGCTAAATCTATATATTATTGGAACCCATAGCTAAGTATTACTATGCTAATTTTTATAATCGTGTTGTGACATCTCATCCACATTCAGTAAATTGAATAGAATTTTTATTTGTTCCTGAGTTTTGTTTCATTTTTTATCAACAGGAAATGTGATGTTCTTAATCGAGGATTCAGTGGTTACACATCAGCATATAACAAGTTCATTCTGCCCAAAGTCCTTCAGAGTGACAATAATCCCAAGGGTAGTACTGTGGCAGCAATTGTGCTACTTGGTTCAAATGATGCTGTCTGCAATGAGACAGACCCACGGGGACTTACTGTAGAACAGTATGCTACAAACTTAATGGACATCTTAACACAATTCATGAATGATGGCATGGAAGCAAGTCAACTAGTTTTATTGACACCACCAGCAGTAGCAGATGATAAGTACAAGGAATGTTGTGCAGAACGTGGTAAGTAACTGTTTTTATTATCCAACTGCACTAAGTAGATTACAAATAATGCCCAAGTCAAGTACTAAGATACAGTGCTATTGGATGGTTGGTTATTTTGTACTGTTAAAAAAAAAACCTGTTTGACTCTTTCTCTCCTATGAGTGATCAAGACAGAATTTCTCTTTATAATATCAATATAATATCAAGCAGACCAGTGACAAGAGTAAAGAAAACTATCAGTTAGGGGATTATTGGTTGATCCAAGACTAAATTCCCTGAACTAACATCATGAGAAGGGTATGGCAGGCAGTGAGGAGAATTACTCTCAAGATCTTGGAAGTGAAAGGGTGAACTGTTTGTATTTTAACTCAGCCTACTTGGTTGTCAAAATGCGGCATAACTTGTAAAAATACTCCATGATACTACACACCAAAAGATCTAACAAGATAGATATACATTTGTTACGTATATATGACTTGTCTGACTGAAAAAAAAAATTACAAAGGTCACAGATTGGCCCTTTGTAATGGATGAAAAGTCACCCTTGATTTCCTCTCAATCGTTACTACCATGACTCATTAAAGCATTTGCAGGTGCTACAGATTCACAGAAGCTAGCTGCTGTGATTCTGCATTGTGTTACAGTGAAGTTAAGCTGCCCTCAGACCTCTTTTCTTAGACTCCAGTTTTAAGGTTGTTCTTAATGATCTCATTTGAAATGAAGAAGGAAATGGTGTGGTGTCTTAAGGGGTAAACCCTTTGCACCCCAACATCAGTATACATATTCTCCATACTGTTCTCTATACATTTCCTAAGATGCTAACAAGGAGAATTTGTTGAACAATCAAAAAGTTTTTAGTTGGTGATCATTTTCCTTATTCTCAAGACCATATTGTTTGATATAGGGCTGAGATTGTAAGGAGAAACTAGATGCCAGTCACTCTTCAGGGTTAAAGAAATGTCCTCAAGGGGAAAAATAATAAATATATAAACAACATTTTTATTTTTATTTTATATGATTGTAACTAAGGAGAGATTCTCTTCTATTACACAAACATCAATTAAATACCAAGTGAGTTTTAGGGCAAAAAACATGATATCTTCTTGTGTGAAGATAACATGACTTATTCACTTGTGAAAGGTTCATTGTTGCTGTGGTTACATAAAATAAATAGGTCCTTTTAATGCAGTGTCTTTGATAGCAGTGCCTTCATAAGTATTTCATTGATGTTTATATAATAAATAGAAAATTACATGGCCACTTGGAGATACAAAGTTTCACTTCTTGTGTTTGCTCACTTTTGAAAAATTTTTCAACGCTGGAAGAGAAATTTCTCATATCCGCGCCATGTAATATCCTCTATCTATCAAAAGGGGAAACAGATGGAAATCTTTTCATCACACTTCCTCTGCTATTCTATGTAGTCGGTCATTTTATTGAACTCTTTCTTTTCTTACTTTTGAGAGAAATTCTTTGATTCTGAACCTGTGAGTATCTTTGGTGGAGATTGTTGACCACACATGAATTATTAATCCAATGATTGTCAATTTTCTCTACAAGATGTACCAGTAAGCCTTTGGGATGCCCGGGTAAAACCTTTTGCTGAAAAATGCGCTGATGTGGGAAAAAAGCTTGGAGTGGAGGTTGTCGATCTTTACAAGTTATTCCATGAACAGCCAGTAAGTTTGGATGTTAATCTGTAGATTTTATCAACTTGTGCCGATAAGAAGTATGAAATACACTTTCAACAAGGTTTAAGGGTGCTGATGATCATAGTATTAACTACTGAAATTTTTCATCCACGGCAATAACTGATTACCACCCACTATTACCACCCACCCTAAATTCCATGCAGCCCAAATCTTAACAAAAGGCTTCCTCTTTGTCTGCAGGCATCTGGTTTTTAGATCTTTGGGCTCCAAGCTCAAAGTTTTTCCTGATAACTTAGTTATCAGGAAAAGAGAGAGAAATAGATCTCGCATCAAAAGTTCCTTTTGGGCATTTCTCTCCAACTCCCAACCCCCCTTTCCATTATCATCTGTCCTCACAATCTAAAACTAAAAATCTTTGAATTTTTAGAACTGGGAGTCTTTTGTAAGTGATGGCCTACATTTTTCAAAAGAGGGAAACCAGTTTGTGGCACAGCAAGTGATTCCAGTGCTGGATACCAAGTTAGGACACTTGCCTATGATATTTCCTGACTGGAAGGATGTAGACCCAAAGCATCCAGATAAATACTTTTGTAATAATTAGCACCTTGGGTTAATTACCTTTATTTACTGACCAAAACAAACAATTATTAAAAACATAAAAGCATAGATCGTAAGTAAAAACCACACCAAATGCATGCGTAATCCAGTGTATCAGTTATCAAATATTTAAGTTAACTGTTATGGAGACAAAGTTTAATAATTGTAATTGTGCATTACATCCAAATAGACATTGTATGAATCAGATTTGTATATTTTTATTACAATAAATATGACACACTTCTACAAGGGATGTTTACAAGCTTAATGTACAGTTCATTCATGTTCTTTGGATAGCTCTGCCTGGAGTATCCTGGTGGGTGGAATTTCAAGCTCTTGATTTACCTTGTAGGATAACAAGAACATTAATTACAAAAAATATATAACATTTATTCTTTTCATGCACTTTAAGCTATTGACATTGCTGATCTTAACAGTACGCAGGACACATGTTATGTACAGCTGTTTGCAGAAAGGTTTTTGGAAAAAATGCAAGTGCATGCATCAACCTTAAAAGGCAGTGTGACTAGTTTTCAGGTCCAGTTCCTTGATGTCAGGATTTCAGGGAAAACAGCATTGTAAAAGAAGTGTAACAGGTTTGATGAATTTTTTTGTTTGCAAGACTGACTTTTAATTCTAAACTTGATGAAAAAAAGGACACACTCATTGACCCTAATGAACACCGAAAATGATGTAAACTCATGGAGAGCAAACTCTAGGTTACCTTAAGAAACAATTTGTGCAAGACAATATTTTATTGCTTTGTTCCTGTTGTATTCATGAGTATATCAGTATTTACCCTTGTCCATTAGTCCTTTAGCCCATATTTATTTCTGTAACTCATTTACAACAATTGATTTCAAGACACCTGGAATACCTTTCAAGAGTGTTGTGTGCACTTTGTCCTTTTTGATGCAAACAGCTGTATGAACTCAGTAATGGCCTAGCTCACCAAATAATGGGTATAGAATGGGAATATGAATGGGAACAGGAATGGGAGTGGGAATGAGAGTGAAAATAGGGTGAGAATGGGAACAGGGGTGAGAATAAGAGTGGGAAGAGAATGGGAACAAGTGGGAATGAGATTGGGAACAGGAAAGGGAATGAGTGTGAAGAGAATGGGAACAGGAGTGGGAATGAGAGTGAGAAGGGAATGGGAACAGGAGTGGGAATGAGAGTGAGAGGAGAATGGGAATGGGAACAGGAGTGGGAATGAGAGTGAGAAGGGAATGGGAACAGGAGTGGGAATGAGATTGGGAACAGGAAAGGGAGTGAGAGTGAGAGGAGAATGGGAATGGGAACAGGAGTGCGAATGAGAGTGGGATGAGAATGGGAGCAGGAGTGGGAATGAGATTGAGATGAGAATGGGAGCAGGAGTGGGAATGAGAGTGAGAAGAGAATGGGAGCAGGAGTGGGAATGAGATTGAGATGAGAATGGGAGCAGGAGTGGGAATGAGATTGAGATGAGAATGGGAACAGGAGTGGGAATGAGAGTGAGAAGAGAATGGGAATGGGAACAGGAGTGGGAATGAGAATGAGAAGAGAATGGGAATGGGAACAGGAGTGGGAATGAGAGTGAGAAGAGAATGGGAATGGGAACAGGAGTGGGAATGAGAATGAGAAGAGAATGGGAACAGGAGTGGGAACGAAAATGAGAAGAGAGTGGGAATGGGAGCAAGTGGGATTGAGAATAGGAACATTGTTAACTGTCTCAAACTCTTCTGCGAGTTATCTTTTCAAAATGTTTCCTCACTGCTGACTAATCATGTTTCTCCTAACTTTGACTACAAGTTACTAATACTATCAATAATCATGGTGTAGTCATATTTTCTCACCCATTAAGAAAGACAACAAGAAACAATTCCTTGTGGTATTTCTTAACAGAAGAGAATTTAATGAGACTCAAGTGTGGTTCCAAATCAATGTGTCAAGCTCAGCTGAGAAATAATAAACTTACTCTGGAGTTCACATACTGATGCAGCAACATCCTTAGCTCTGCATTCTGGAAACAAATATCAACCTCAATACATTGTTCACTTATTGTTTACCAGACAAGATGTTTCCAAGCTACAGTGTGTGTGGCTATATGCAAAACCAAAATAACTTGTAGGGATTGTAGCTAAGGAATTAGGCTGCCAGCTGAAATATCAAGTGAGCCAGCTTGAAGATAGTATTTTAAGTGTATAGTCTAAAAAGTGCATGTTTTGCTTAACTGAGCACTCCAGTCTAAAATCCAGCTGGCAATTGCTGTTTTATCATCTGGCATAATTCACCGGCAGCTGGCACTTAGCAACAACCCTGTTTGTATCTCAGTATCTTGTAGCTAAGGAATTAGGCTGCCAGCTGAAATATCAAGTGAGCCAGCTTGAAGATAGTATTTTAAGGTATTGTCTAAAAAGTGCATGTTTTGCTTAACTGAGCACTCCAGTCTAAAATCCAGCTGGCAATTGCTGTTTTATCATCTGGCATATTTCACCAGCAGCTGGCACTTAGCAACAATCCTGTTTGTATCTCAGTAACAAACATTATTCTAAATGCTGAAATAACTAACTCTTTGAAAATGGTGCATCAGGTATTAATTTAGTATAATGATTGTGAAGTGCAGAAACTGATAAAATATCCCATGCTTTACAAAAGGTTGGTAAAAGTTTATAAGCCAACAAATGTTATAACATAGCTAGTAAATTTGTCTAATCAAATTCAATTGCGTGAGTGTGCTTCATATTCCTATTGTGCACGCTCATGACGTCAGCAAACAAATCCCTTGAGAAAAAAATTTTCCTTTGGGTTGAAAATGTTATAAAACAATTGGTTCATACATCAGCTGTGCGTTCATCAAGATGTGAAGCACTTAGGAAGTTTGGAGAGCACTCAAGGAGCTAGAGTTGCTCAAGGCGTAGCCAAGAGCAACTCTTACGCATCTTTCGTGCTCTCCAAACTTCCTAAGTGCTCTCCAAACTTCCTAAGTGCTTCATATCTTGATGAATGCACACTGACATATAAACCAATTGTTCAGTGCATTTCATATTCCACTCTGAATAAAAAAATTGCACCAGCTATTCTAAATACTTGTGGTTCAATTTTCAGCATGGAAGCATGCTACTGATGACCCTAGTACCCCCTCCTATGTATCACAATCTCACTACTCAAAATCTTGTTGACAACCCTGTTTGGTACAATATTGCACAGAACATTGCACAAAATATCTCTTCCAAATCTGGTATAACTGTACCATCTCTTGCTCACCTGCTGTGTGAGGGCATCTGTTTCTTGTATCAGAGCCGCCCTCTCTGTCAGCACTGCCAAATACTTTTCAAATCCATCTAACAAAGCTGTCCAAACTCGCTCTTTCTTTACATCTATTACTGAAGCCATATTTTGCCAGAAACTTTCATCAAGCCTGTAAAATAACGGAGGTATTTTTAATTTTGTGCTACATTTTTAGCTGTCAAAAAAGAAATTTAAATGTTTTTTGACAATCATATACTTACGTGGTCACTTTTCCAACTCCAGCTCCCACCTTTAAACTTTGCCGCTTAGCTTCCCTGAAGGGAAATACAATCACACAAGGTCAAGTTGTGATTTTCAATGAAATAACCCCTGACCCACACACTCCAAATAATAATCCAAAAGTAGAAAACTTCTCCCTATAATATCCTTACATTATCCAGCAAACATGTAATGAGAATATTCAAATGTGTCAGGTAGAAGTTGATATCTTGATCTAACACCAAATTCTCATAACTAATTTACAAAGATATGTGTAGCAGCTAGAGGGGAGAATTAACAACCAGATCTTGGGAGTTAAAGGGTTAACCAGACAGTTAAAAATCAATAAGGAGAAATATCAATGAGAGGATTTTGTTTCAGAAGTGACACAACTCCAAATTCTCAGAACTAACCGAAAAGACATTTTTGCTAATCTGTAGCATGAAGTAGTCTTCAGATCTTGGGAATTTAAGGTTTTAGTTTCCCTCAGCACAAAAACAGCTTTCAAGCTTTACATGAATTTACTTACTTCTGTGGTTGGCGGTTGTCTTGCACAAATTTTCTTAAAGCCTTCACAACTTCATTTGGGTGAATAAGGTTCTTCATTTCTGTAGGAACAAATGCTTTTTTTAACAAAAAATCATTTCATTTTTACAGGACAAAGGAAAATGAATTTTAGCCATGATTAAATCTGATGTTGTGCCAAGAATCATAACTGAGATAAATAGACAAATATTTGAATAGCGTCAAATTTCACCTCACAATATCACCCCTAAACCACACACTAGGATTGTGAGAATGAAGAAAATGGTCAACTAACTAAAAGAAGCTCTTAATCATTGAACAAATTCTCCTTGTTAACATCTTGGGAAATGTATGGAGAATGGTAATTATAAATTATGTAAACTAACGTGCCCTTGACGAAGGAGGAAGTTCACGCAAGTCTTACCTGACAAATGCGCTTTGACAGATGATGAATCGCTCGCCTTCTCATCTACACTCAACACTACAGATCCATCTTCATCTTCCTTTTCTCTTTCATCCATTTTGCCAGCTGTTTCTTCAATGGTTGCCTTCTCTTCTGTCATCTCATCATCCTTAGTTCCTCTCTCGCTCCCTTCTGGTGCTTGTTCAATCTCTCCATGACCAAGGAAGTAGTTTGACAGCAGATAGATGTCATCCTCTGTATCTACACCCAGTGCCTTCAAAATAAAATAAAAAGAAAGATTAATTAAACAAGGTCAAACCTGGCAATGATAATTAAAGAAGTCACTGTTACATGAACATCAACATACAGTATGGTAACCACTCAAAAGTAAAGGGGTAAGTTTCTAAAGAAACTGTGGTGCTGCGTCTGTGGGAGAGTATAGCAGGTAATTTAGTGTTAACAACTAAGTTGCAAACGTAAATTAGCCACGGTAAAGGGTAAAAAAATTAATGTTTCGAGTGTTAGCCCTTCGTCAGAGCAATTGATTGCATCACTCAAAACTCAGTCCTTAACTCTTGAACCTTGATTCTTGAAAGCTTTGAGAATTGAGGCTCAAGTCAAGTTTCCAATGTTCAAGACAAGCTTTGAGATCATTGAGACAGAAAAGAAAGACATTTTGTGCCATTTGCTTTTCTTATGACTAGAAGCTTCCTTTCTTTAAATGAATTCACAGGATAAAAACAATTACAGGGTGCACCATGCCCAATGCAGTGACAAGTAGCTTTATCCCAGAAGCCATTTTATAAAATTTGAATATTGAAGGGAATGAATA